CCTCAGGGTCCACATTAGGGGTTAACTACAGATTTATGTATTTTCCCCTCGAGTTTTTCGTAAATTTTGTAATATACAGATGGCTCCAAGTGCCCAGCCAACAAGGAGTTCATCAGGAGGCACCTGATTTCCCCAATCCTTGAATTTGTAGGAAAATGTTTTTATTTCTAGTACTATTAATTTTGATACTGGTATTATTCTATTTGATATGATTGTTAAATTCATGCTAAAACTCTTCATAGTATATCATCAAATCTGTTCTTTGTTCAGTACTAATCAAAATTTGTAACAAAACTATAAACTGCTCCATGGCATCAGGACTTTAGAAAGGATGTTAAATATTGAAAATGAAAATCTCATTCACAAGATAATATAATTTCCAAATGATGAATTGTAACACAATTATATACCAACATCCGCTTCCAAGAGTTAGAGACAGCATGTGCTTTTTGGCAGATACAAAAAATAACATTTCTACAGGAAGAAAGCTGTTCTCTTGTTCTCCAGTGAGCATGAGTACCAACAACATGCTATTTATGGAAACTTATTTTGCTAGCACTCTTTCACTTTAAAATGGAAGACTTTAAGCAGCTGTGGATAAATGAAAAACTGTTAAACCTTAAAACATATATTTCATTAAATAGTTTTGTATATCTTCTGGCATACTATGATTTTTTGATACAATATATACATAGATAATTGGATAAGATGAAAGAAACCCCACATATCAGACATTTTAGTCTATTCTATACTTAAAACTGTCATAACTCTTTTTCTTCTGTGAAAGATGAACTGTCATGCTACCAAAATTATTATGTACATGCACTTCACATAAAAATACTTTTAGGGAAAATGATATCAAAACAAATAAATCTATAAATATTCAAGCAATAATTTTTCTATAGAAGTTAATGCAATTAAAAATAAATAGATGAGATGAAACCTAAGCACACAAACATTCAGACACATTCATAAAAAAAATCAAGTGTAACTGAATTTCCATTGAAAAGTAACAAGGATGACTATTGAATGATCAACAACTTAATCATAAGTATGTAGCTACAATACTTGTTGAATTCTGATAACATAACTATTGCACTGAAAAAAACTTTACTCCATATTACAAATAATGGAACAGCCTCAACATTCTTTCTGTAAAAAAAATCTAACCACACTCAATGCCAACACTCTTGCCTGTTCCAAATTTTTCCTATAACAAACCCTTCAATGTTTTCATATGGGCATGTTTTATATACCAAAGGATAACTTTTTAAAATATTTACAAATATGCAATAAACTATATATTGTAAAGAATTGCACTAAAAACCATCACTTTATTTTTTTGATCTGATGAAATATCCGATGTAGAGATGACAACTTTTTTGGGATATGGAACTGGGAAGGAAGGAAAGAAAGAAAGAAAGAAAGGGGGAAATAAAAACAGGACACAAAAAGAGAGAGAGAGAGAAAAAAAAATGGGATAAGTACAGCATAAGCAATAACTGTGGGCACTTCCTGAGGAATGTGCAGCTTTCAAGTGACAATCAAAAGCACTTTAAATATTTGTTTACATGTACTTATTCATATCTAAGACTTGTTTTCACATGCCCTTTAATGCGCAGTTTTGTACAGACAAAGCATGATTTTCCAGGTGTTTCTTCAAAAGGTTACT